TGGCCAGGTGGCCAGCGTGCTGCGACACCTGCCTGCTCCTTCCTCGGAGAAGTGGAGGTGTCCTGGCTTGTGTGTGGGGACTGAGTTCCCGCGGTGTGCCTGCCTTTAATAACCTGGTGTGCTGCTCCTGCTCCGCATGGCCTGGGGCTTCCCCAGATTTCCCAGCACACTGGGTCGGTGCTGGGATTGCGCTCCTGGAGAAGCTGCAGGTGCTCTGCCCTGAGCCCCGACTGGAGTGGCTGCTGCGCTGCTCAGTCCTCGGCAGGTCCAGTCCCCGCTGCTGGCAGCCCTGCCCACTGTGCCCTGGCTGCTGCTGCGAGGACGCTGCCTGCCCTTGGCAGCTTGGCACGGGGTCTCCTGGCTTAAACGTGCTGGGTGTAACTACTTGCTGGCCACGGCACTAGAAGGCCAACCGCCGCCTGGCCCCGTGTTTTGGGACAGCCTCATGTGGCCAGTGTGCCCATGAGCCCCGAGGGCTCGCCCCTCCGATCAGCTCGCCCAGAGGTGGTCTGGGCACTGGTGCTGTGCTGGCCTCGCGAGCAGGGCTCGAGCGGTGCTGTTGCATGCCAGGGCGTGGGGATGCAGCCGTCTGCTTTCAGCTGAGACAGTACTTTGTCCTTTGCAGGTCTCTGAACCCCGACTGAGTCATCGCCAGCTTGGTTCAAGATGCCACCGGCCATCGGAGGCCCTGTGGGATACACTCCTCCTGAAGGAGGATGGGGGTGGGCCGTGGTCATCGGAGCCTTCATCTCCATTGGGTTTTCCTATGCTTTCCCCAAATCCATCACCGTGTTCTTCAAAGAGATTGAGGTCATCTTCAATGCGTCCAGCAGCAAAGTCTCCTGGATCTCCTCCATCATGCTGGCTGTGATGTATGCAGGAGGTGAGTGGGCTGGAGGCAGCAGTGCACGTGCTCGTGCGTTGCAGTGCAGGGTTCAGCTCTCCTGCTGGGTCTGATGATTTGCACCTTGCTGTAGTGATGACTACCAAAACTTTGCTAAAAGTTGGAATTCTCTGCTTATTTGAGAGCAAAACTCCCCTTAGCGAGTTTGCTTGAAGGAGGTTGCTTAAAAAGCTCGATTTGATGCCCAGAATGTGAAAACCGGGTTAATCTGTCCTTCTCTGCAAAGCTGTAAGTAAAATCTTTCCGGGGAATTACGACTTGTATAATTCTGCCCTTGTCCTTGTTACAGTGTGCGGTGGGCGCTGTGTCTGCTTCCAGTGCCTGCCCGAAGGCCATGGGAGCTGCTGTGCCACGCGTGGGAGCCCTGCTCACGGGGTCTCTTTTAGATAAGACATCAATTTTAATTTTTTTTTTCAATCTAGCAAGCGGTGGCTGTATCTGGGGATCTGTCCCCAGTTTCTGGTCAGCTCCGCTCGCTGTGCTCTGGAGTGCACGGAAGCCTGGTGCTGCCGGTTCTTCCTCGCTGGTGCTGTTTGAGGGTGGCAGGGTGCACTGGAAGTACAGAGCCATGAGCAGAATAAAGCAAAACTGCTTAAACTGAAGCAGCTCCCCTCCCCCATCCTTCAGAAACTGCTTCTTGAAGTCTTTTAATCCCAAGCCGTGTGCTTTATGCTTGTCTCTAACCGGTGAGGAGCAGGCAGAGTGCTGCCAGCCCTTGCCTTGCGCTCTGCAGACCCCGGTGTCTCGCACCCGCCTGCAAACGCAGCTTTGCACTGGGTTGCTCAGATGAAAGAAACTCTTACTGGGAGCCCGCTGTTGTGTCCACTTCAGAGGCAAATCGGAGCTTGTACCGCTGCCATCCCCGGCTGGCGAGCTGCCGGCGTCCTCGCTGCGTTTGTGCATCGAAAGGCGCTGACGTCAGCGCCCGGCTGAGCACGAGGCTTTTCCTTTGGGGGAACAGGCTCTGCTTTGTCCTCGCTCAGCTAGCGAAGCGGCTAGCACATTTCCCTGCTCCCATGTTATAACAAGCTTGTAAACCATGTAACTGCCTTAATGAGACTCAATCTGGGCCATTCCTCCTCTCCCAATAGCTCGGTGCGGTTCCTTGGGGTGCCCCGGGGCTGGCACTGCCTGGAGCTGCCCGACAGCTGGGGCGAGAGCTCCCTCCTCCAGTCCTGGGGTCGGCCCCCTGTCCCCTCCCTCCACGATGACACTGTCTCTCCCACTCCGCTTGAACTGTTGCCATTAAATCCCAGCAGCTTGCTGGTCTTGAACTGCTTGCCTGCAAGCCACTGGCTGGGATGCTGGAGGTACCGCAGAGCTACCGAGGTGCATCCCCCAGCTGCCGGAGCACAGGAACATGCTGGAGCCTCACCCGCTCATCCCAGGGCTCCTGAGCCCAGACCCTCTGCAAGGTCTGAAATGCACTGGAGCGGTCACAGTGTGCATCCTGTTCTCCGTGTCCCCCCGGGTCCTCCCTCCTGCGGGAGCTGCACGCTTGCTTGGAGGCAAAAAGCCTAGCTCCTGTTCTGACCAAACACCCTGGGCTGATGGTATTGCAGAGAGCTGGGGCAGCTCCTGTCCCGGGCAGGGCTGGGGCGGTGGAGCAGCACGTCCTGCAGCCCCACGCAGCCGCCCCGTGCTGTCACTGCCAGGGTACGTGGATGTTACAGCCTCAGATGCCCCTTTCTCAGCTCCGCAGTAGGACTGGGGAGGGCTCTCGTTCCATTACTTACTCTCTTTTCACAGTATGAATAATTGAAATAGATCAGCTAAATTTGGTCAGAAATGCTTCATGTGAATCTACAAAATAGGAGTGGGTGTGAATGCTTTTATCATTTATTAAAATAAAAAAAGGGGGGG